ATATATCATATATGTACGATGAAATAGGTAAAGTGAGGGAGTTCATGGAAATTACAAGAGAACCATCAGAATGACTTTGCCGCATAGGAGGACCAGATTCGCTCTTCACTTGACCTCCTTTAGCACTGATGACATTTCTTAATTTATTCAGCCACTCCGTCTTGTCGGTCATGCTCTCAGCCTTCAAAACAACAGCACTATGGGCTGGCAGACATCAGCAAACCTCTAGTTAGTTTTTATCCAAAAATCAATGAGGAAAATTAGGCTTCGGTGGATGAAGCAAATATGAATTTTAGTACCTTTCAGGACAGTCTTATACTGAACCCTGCTTGTCAACTTGAAAACAAGACTTGGTGCTTTTGCTGCAGCTGCACCATTTGCTTTTTTATCTTTAGAACTCTTTGAAGGAGCTTCTTCTTCTTCGGCAACTTCTTCCAGATTACATTCCTGAATATTTTAAACAAAAAATTCAAAACTGATTCGTCTTCACAGCAATCTTCCACATTGAATTAGATGGCAGTGGAGTGGACACGAAATGATATCAGATTCCTAGATCTTCAATATACTATTTAACAAGCTCCCACAACTTATTGTAATTTCTTAAAATGAATAAGAAGTCTCTAGATACAGTGTAGACAAGTGAATACCTCTAAAGTGATAACACCACGGAAATGCCTCTCTTCTTGTTTCTTTGTATACCCGAGCTGCATAGATCATAACAAAACAAAACAATCCACAAAGCACGAGATATATTAGAAGGCAGACGTAAAACCATTAACTGCAAACATGAGTTCACTTATTTTATTCTCGAATTTCAAATGTGAATGATTCTTGTGTGTGATGTGGAAATGTCATTAAAGATATTGAGAAGTCAAATCTTGTCCCAATAACCATATAAGCCACTTACTCTTCAAAAGAATAGAAAAAAAAGAGAGAGGATAAAAAGAAAATAAAATGAGTGTATACAGTTATAGATATATAAGCTACTTACTTTTCCTGTTTTCTCATTCAACACAAACCATCTTTTACTCCAATCATTATTTTTTGCGCTTTTCTTCAACAAGAAGCCTGCACAAGGGAAACAAGGAAAAAATATACTAAGTAATTCATCAAAAACAGGGTCAAAAATTTTTCCTTCTTTTTTTTTCTAACTAAAAAAATAAGAACAAAGGCCCAATAATTTTGAGAAAACAACACATTAATAACAGCGAAAGCACAACCATGAGAGGTAAAAGAAATGTAGACAACCTGCTGTTATTTCTCCATCTGGTCCTGCAGTCTTAAGTCCGGATCCTTCTTGCCCATCTTTATCTTTATCTTGTGGATTGGATTTGTTATCCTTCAATGATTTTAGAATCCCCCCACTTTGTTGGCCTACAGTTTGTGGACTAGTTGCCTGAAATAGAGGAAATAAGAGAGGAGACAAATATTAAATAGGACAGACACAGTAAAATTGTACAACATGCAATTGCACGGTATTATTACAGAACAAAGGAAGCCACCAAGCTTCTGGCGACATGCACAAGCAGTGGTAGAAATTGGATCAATCGTAGACATCATTGGATTTCATACTGACATATAAAATAGACACTGAGAAGGCTGTTATACTCTGTTTAATATGGATTGCTCTGCATCAAGTGCCTTCTTAGATGATCGGCCCTTCAACTCTTCTTCACGTCGTTGTCTGTCCATCCTGCAAACGATCAAACTCAAGAACTGTAAACAGTAACTCAAAGGAAAAAAATATAAAACTATATCAGCTGTTGGCATACCGCCTCTGCACCAAACGTATAAAATGTTGTGGCGGAACAAATGCACGTTCCATGTCAACGAGTGCAACTACCATATTTTTAGCTTCATTCTTGAAGCCTTCCAAAGCAGCTGTGGCAATTGCCACAACCTACACAAATTTTAATGTACAATGATTCATAAAATTAAACAAAATGTACTTCAGATAACAGATAAGAGATTCATGCTGGAGTTTACCTCTCGCTTAAATGGAGGGTATCTTCCAAGGCCTGCTGTGGCATTTGCAGCAGTTGAGACAATATCAATTAGAACCCGATGCACCTATGAAAGAACCAAGAAATTAACAGGGAACACGAACAATATCAACAAGGCCATGGAAATAGATAAACAAAAATAACAATGATTTACCTCATCAACACAAAGGCGCGAAGGTTCTTTTGCGAGTTCCAAAACACCTTTAATTAAAGATCTCAACCCTTTCTCAGGAGAGATAAGATAAGGTTGATAACCATCTGCTTCGAGCACAATCTAAAATCGGTCTGGAAATATCAATACGACGGACAAAATAACAATACGATACTAGAAAGCATACATGCCAAGATGGAGAACACATACCCTTTTAACATTATTGATGTCAAAGTGTCTATCTAAAGGAAGTTGCTTGATCCTATTAGGGAAATTCCCTTCAAAACTAGCAACCACTTTCCACCCACCTCCCTGAAAAAGCAGGATAATTCAAAACCTAAGCATAATGCCAACAGAGTAGACTTGGATACCAAACTATAGCAGACCACCCAACAAGACACAAAAATGACATCCCGCAGCAGAGATCATTAAAGGCAAGGGATAACGAAGAAGATGATAATAACATTGAAATACGAAAGTTGATAAAATATAAAATTTATGAAATGAAGTTATCATGACACTAAGTACTGCAAATAAAAATAAATAAACTTGCATAATGTCTCCATGAGTTCAGAGCATCACCTCTCCTGTTGTGATATGTTGGAGGAACTTGTCCTCAAATTCACGGCAGAGTTCCAAAGCTAAAGCTCTGGTACCCTCAGAACTCTGAACCATCTGTTCACCAAGTCTGAAAAGTTCATCCTGCACTACCTGGGACTTCCCCTGAAGCCTGAAGGAGTTGAAATGTCAGCAAAGATGGTAAAAATAATTATATAAGCAATAAGATACCAAAAAAAAAATGAAGAAAGAAATAGCCTCTACATAACACTTCCACTAATCAATGAGAACTTGTACATTACTTATTCATTTCCAGAGTTGGCACATACAGGGTTTTGGCCATATTAGTGTTCACTAGTTACTCCGGCACAAATAGAAATGATACTACATAACCAGCAGTTGAACTAGTAAACTCATATTAACAGCATGTCAGCATCCACATCTAATTATGCTTTACAAGCAATAGCCAGAAAAGAGAACCATGCATTACTGCTAGAAAGAGGATTACCCGAAAAAATACTTCGGAAAGTGACATAATGAAACAACCTCTTTCACATGACCATGGAAAAAGGGAGACTAGGAGACAAGAAGATTCATAAGGGGAGATACGCACCCTGAAAGGAGATTTGGCAGCCTAATTTTCATCCGATTTCTGATCTGTTGGGCAAGGGTCTCAACCAATGCTAATCTCCCAAGTTTGCTTTGAGGAGCTCCCGGCAGTATAGATTTCAAACTCTCAGTTTCTGCCCGCCATGCAGTTTCTAAGGAATTATCAGATCCAACACCCCCAGATTGAGCAGATGCTATAGAGACAGACTGACCAATCAAAGCAACCCATGGGATCTCAGATGTACTTCTAGGTCCTTGATTTAACAAAAGAGCCTGCACAGCAGCAAGAATTTTCGGTTCTGAAGATGCTTGATCTATCTTGCTAATTACTCCAACAGTTCTTGTACCTAAACAGTAGCCAGTGCAAATTAATAACAAGAAAGATGCAATCAGAAGAAAACTCCATTTTTCAAATTCATAGAACAAAATAACACCCAGAGCAGACCCACATTCTCCATCAAGTTCCTTGGCAATTCTGATGGCTTTGGCTGAAGCCACCTCTGGAGCTTGAGTAGCAGGTATCACGACGAACAATATTGCATCACTGCGTTCAGCATACTGACTCTGCAATGAAGAAATAGGCTATTACTCTGTTAAAATAATGTGATCAGACTCTGCCGGCTTCAACATTATTCTTCTTCTTATTATTATTATTATTATTATTATTATTATTATCCACTATCCAGTACATGAGGTCAAGAATCTAAGTTCAGTACGATCAAAGTTGGCCATTAAGTTTAACTATTCAGAATGAGTTAACTGCATTCCATCATAAATTTGCTTCCTATATAACTACATAACTTTCGGAGGCATCTTTAAGAAATGAAATTGAGGCTTCCTGCACAAATAATTTATATCTTATACCAAATAATGCTCAGAGTTCAGAAGCCAGTCCCACTCACCAAGGAATCATCCAGATTGCCCTTATCTACACCAGGCAAATCAATTAATTTCAACGGTGGAGCTGCAAAACATGAAGATTAAAGATTATATATAAGTTACCTTACAAACTGCAGAAATTCACATTGTGGCAACTGAATAGCAGGTATTCTGATATCAAGTTAGATTTATTTCGAATTTTCTTTTCTACTTCATGACAGAAACTTATTTTTCTTTTTGTTGCTTAAAGGTTTCCAGAGTACAGGATCAACATATAAAAACAAAAGCACAATTCTTAGCTCCTTTAGAAAACAAGTAACTCGAGTTAAGTTCTCAAGCAGTTATACCTGTACTTGTACGAAGTTTCAAATATATTTCATCACGACTTTTCCCAGATATTCTGCTCAACCTATCCTGTAATGAATGCCGAAGAGCACCTATAACCACAGATTTCAGGAAAAACATATTACACAAAACAAGAATAGGATGAAGCCATTTTCTTGTTCGTAAATAGGGAGTAAACCCTTGTTTTAATCTCTACACAGCATCGCTTAGGGTTCTGTAAAAGGACTCACTTGCGGATACTGGTTGGGATTTACTATCAATCTGCAAAATAATGGATTTGGTGCTTAGCGAACTATCCCTTGCTAGATCAATACATATTGGAGCCCGAGTAGCACCACCTTCCCCAGTTGGCTGCAATAATTTAAGTTCAGCTTTAGAAAGTGGTTTCTCCACTGCAACATTGCCGAACCTGATAATCTTATAGAGAATCTATAAGACCTAAGTACTTACCAATGCAGGATGTCCAATTAGACTATTCAGCACTGCAGACTTTCCTGCACCCTGAGGAAATGGTTCACAATCTGAAATAAATCTTTATGATAATATTTACGGTAAAGAGACGATCACCCATCATTGGCAAAATGAAAAATGGTACAAGTGAACTATTGAAGAGTCATACTTAGAACAGTATAATCTACAATGTTTCATAACCACCTAGAGATTCTTAAAACGGATAAACCCGGTGCACTATTTAAAAGAATGCATCAAATTGTCCAATCTCCAATGTGAGATGAGTGTAAATGTATTGAACTCAATACCTAATTGGAGCAAGAGTTATCGTTTACATATCCTAAATTTCTATGCTACAGAGGACATTGGTCCTTCAATGCATGCTTCTAAGTTCTAAACCCATGAAGAAAACCAGGCACACCACTAAGCTTTAGCTGGGAACTCATGTCACTTTTCTGAATGTAAGTGATCGTCATCATCTTCAGTATCGCACAGAAAACACCAAAGGGATAATGATCTATGAAAGTGGTAGAAGCACTAAAAGCTACAAACTACATTCAAAAAGTGCAACACCAATACAATGCCACCACATATAGTATCACATTTTTCTTGACATAGAATTTTAGTGGGTACTGTATTATAGTCATATGAAAATAAAAGAGAAAAGAAAAGAACGAATCTGCGCAAAAGAAGAACCGAAGAGTAAACTGCTGCATAAATCAGACAATATTGAAAGATTGTATGCATCTCATAAAAATCTCTCTTTCACACACACCCCATACAATTGTTAAGTTGACAAGGATCAATGTACGAGCTAGACCTAGAAACGTTCAAAAAACAGTAAATGATTTCTATCTATTTTGCAATTGAAGTTCATTGGCTCAATCTTATTTCATTTTCAGCTCCTCATTCTATTAAAAGTGACCTACAATGCAATATTTCAAATACTAATTCTGGACTATATGATCAATCAGAGAACCAAATGATCCACACAAATCACAATTGAGATCACACTAACTGCAATTACAAACTGAATGAAAAATCCCAGATCCAAAACACCAGCCAACAGCAGAGATCCAACACCACGCAATGCTCCCAAGCGAACAACAAAACAACCAACACCTCCCCGATCGTTCATACTCACCGTGTTACCAAGAGCAACAACATTGAGGAAAGTGGATGTCCGCTTGGAGGCAGCAGAGGACGCCGTTGTCTCGTCCACATCTTCATCCGCCAGCAGCGCCGACGCCTGCCGCATCGAATCGGAGAGCTGCAACAACTCCTCAATGGCCTCCATGGATTGCAGTCAGTTATCCTCCCTTGAAAAATCCAATAGGTCGGACGCGAAAGAAAAAAAGTACGGCGTACTTTTAACCGAACCACCGATCGAACCACCGCCAACCGCCGCAGATCCAAGAGAATGGGAGAAGATCGAGTATACAAACAACTGTATATGGGTAATTCTACCTATATGTGCATGAAACTAATTGTATAGTTAGGGTCTGAGAGGATTTGCTGAAAGTTTGAACTTTTGAAAACTGGGGAGAATGAAGAAAATGTCTAGAGCGAGAAATAGTGAGAGAAGAGAGAGGAATTGCGATACTGAACTTAAATATTTAATTCAACAGAGCTTAGGTTTGAAGTTAATTACTGTGTTAATTACAGTGATTACTCGTTTTTGTGACCGTAATTTTCGATTAATTGTAGTTTTCCGAACTGGACTGCACACCTGATTCGAGCAGTTATTGACTATTGATTGATGTTTGTGAACCTATTTTGATTCGGCTTATAAAAGTTTGAGTTTTAACTCATTTTAAGATTCAAGAGATGTCAGTAAACAATTTCATCTTTTATATATTTTACTAGTTTCTTGTAAATTTTAAGCAACAATCTAGCCGAACTTATTATATTTTATGTCTAGCAACAACTCCTTTAAAGTTATAGATTTATTAAACGAGTTGAGACTCGAAATTTCACGAGTTTTAATAAATCAGCTCCCTTCAACTCAAATAACCACTCATGCAAAGTAGTCACTCATAATCGTAACTTAGCTTGCTAATGCTCAAGTTCGGTTCGGTTTTTTTGATAAATAAGCCATTCGCTCGTTAACGAGTCGTGCTCAACTCGCTTCAAAAAAAAAAATTATATAATCATTCTATAGCTTAGATCGTTAAAACTTGAAGTCAACTTATTAATATAGATAAACAAGCCGAACTTGTTTACTGGCTCGTTGAATGCTCGAGCTTGAATATAATGAGCTCGAGCTCGGCTCGTTTTGTTTACATACATAACTTGACTGCATACCTTTAAAAGGCTGACTCTTGAGGCACAACGTACAACTACTTGAAGATGGATGTACAACTTGTGCTGGGAAAGGTGCAACCAGGTGACAGCTACCCGAGATTAGGTGAGTAGAGGAAAATTCATCAATTAGCTAGTTAAATAATTGGTTATAATTATCAAACAAAACAGGTTGCATGGAAAAATGACTTCAGTATTGTTTGATGGCAGACCGGTCTATAGAGTGCAGTAAATTAACACGTTTTGCGAAATTTCTACGACTTTTTGACTTTGGGAAATGAACTGGAAGAATAAAGTGTTTGAAAATATGTTTGTTTCTAGTCGTAGTACTAGTAATAGTTGATAGAGTCAAATAAGAGATACAAAGACGGGTCTTGCATGCCTTATTAGAAGGGAAGTTANCATAATCCCTTCACATGATCCGTGATACAAAATTGTCATTAATTAATGTCCATTGTTTTTCGACAAAAAACATCTTTATGATACAACGACTTTTATCCTGAGTACGGTGACACTTTAATATACACGGCATCAGCAACCTTACTTATATTTAGAACTCCGAAAAAAAAAATAAAAAAAAAATAATAAATGAATATTAATTGTCTTATGTTCTATATATCTCAATTTCTTTTCGTTATGTTAAGTGCCTCTACGTTAATGACTTATAAGTCAAGGGACTATTTTACATATGTATAGGTAGACATATTTCATGTTGCAGGTCGCAGGCGGCGATAGAGCTAGTTTAGCGTTGGCGGACCTCGCGTTCGTACAAGACCATTCGGGCACCAAAAAATTGTCCGATTGAGTCATACTTGTCCTCAACGAACCTTGTTCGAGTTCAAACATGTATATTGCATAATTATTGCTCGTTTGACTTGTCTAAGCATTTGTCGAAGGCCGAAGTCTTTCGAATCTAGTAACTTTTGAGTTGGTTGAACTAAATTTTTAATTTCTTTTTTTTTTTTCTTTTTCGGAACGATAAATTAAATTTTTAATTTCAAACTTACGTTTTCTATACAATCTATAATTTATTTCTCATTGATCACCTTAAAATGTTTTGATTTTTTTTTTTAAAAAAAATTTTCCACTTACGGAATTGTATAATAAGTACAAAATCATTTTTCTCACATGTATGTTATTTGCGCTGACCTTAAGTCATTTCTTTCTATATCTCTTAAAAATTTTCTCCGTGTTTGGTGTAAATCATTTTTCATCATGCACGTTCTATATTATTCCGCACGGTCCCAGATTTCTCTGATCTGACGTTAGGCTAACTTTTTCCCAACTGTTGATGGCATTACTGATTCCTCACGTCTGAATAGAGAGCCGCACATCTTGCCAATTCTGCCTCAATAATTGGCGCCCATCGCCATCCATTCCTATATACGTTTTGGCATGTGTCCTTTACTAGACATGGCCAAATTAAACCTGTTCTGGGCCCGGCTCCGAGCCAAGAGTTGGCTAGCCCTGAACCGGCCTGAACATATGCACGGGCCTGTTCGGTGAATCGGTGGTTCTGGGTCAGCCCAGTTCACTAAAAAATAATTAAAAAAAAAGAAGAGAAAATGACCGAATTACCAGATCGGGTTCGAAATCAGTCTGATGATTCAAAAGTATATATATGTGGCTGAGTCAACCACGGTCCCAGTTCAAGGCCCATTGACCAAGGACCGAACTGGCTGCCCCGGCCCGCGGCCATATCTAGTCCTTACATAGGTACATTACACATACATTATTTTTTTTAGTTTATGAAGTTCAAATGGTGGACCCTTTAGGGAGGAATAGAGCTGCAAATGAGTCAAACGAGCATTGGTAGTATAAAAAATAATAAAAATAAATAAAAACAACTAGCTAAAACATGGATCCTTAAGGGAGGAACATATGCGTTACTTTATTCTCTCAAACAAGTGTCAAAGTACATACTTAAAAACCATCATTTTGGCCTTTTCATAGCCTACAACAATAATAAAACTAACAGCCACCAAACAAATGATGCATTATTTGGAAGAAACAAACAGAGTAAATCCTTTTTTAGTAAAGGTGGCTTGGAAGAGTAGGCTCCATAATTACGGAAAGACGAACTTTGGGGTGTGTAGTGAGCCCATACTCCTCCTCCATACATATATCTGCTCTGCTCATTCCCTCGGTCAACCTAAAATCGAACCCATGCACTAAATTCGCAAGCGTCGTTCGGACCATCCTAAGCCCGAGGCCATACCCCGGGCACCTCCTCCTGCCCGATCCAAAGGGCAATAGTGCAAAGTTGCTGCCCAACATATCCACCTCATTGCCCAAGAACCTCTCGGGGAAGAATTTCTCAGGCTCGTCCCAGGCACGTGGGTCCCGCCCGATGCTCCACGTGTTTATGAGGACCATTGTCCCCTTGGACACGTCGTAGCCTGCCACATTGCAGTCCTCAAGCGAGTAATGTGGCGTGAGTAGAGTGGCGAGCGGGTGGAGCCTCAGTGTCTCCTTGACGATGGACTCAACGTAGGGCAGTCGGGAGAAGTCGTTCTCCTCGACCCATCGGTTTTTCCCGATTACCCTGTCGAGCTCGTCTTTAGCCCTCTCCATTGCGTGGGGGTGCTTGAGAATCTCGAGTATGGCCCACTCGACTGTGGTTGCTGTCGTATCCGTGCCTCCGACCAGTAGGTTCTGTAGATATGAAACAAAACCAATTTTACTCGATTTTAACCGATTGGGTATTCTGACTCAAAATTCAACTCAACTTAATTCTCCTCACTATCAGCATAGGTAAATACTTTAATTCACTATTCATACACTCATATAATTTTAACTACATGTCACTTCCAATAAATTTTCTTTTATTTTTATATCACATCAACTTTAATCACTACATTTCATATTCATATCCAATCATCACAACCCAAAAAGCTCATTTAAGACCCATAAAAAGTAGTATCTTCGTTTTGATTCATACCTGTAACAACGCCTTGACACGATCCCTCGTCATCTTAACATCAAGATTCGTGTCCTCTGCAAGCCGCAACAACACATCCACCACGTCTTTCTTCGTCGACCCCTGCTTAGCCATACGATCATCAACCACGTGACTAAGGAACCCGTCGATCTTCCTCTTAAAACCCTTCATCTGCTTAACGTACCCTTGAAGATCAAGAAAATCGAGCCACGACACCCAATCACCGATATTCACCACACCACCCAGAAAGAACCACTCGTCCAAAAGCCCCTGCAGCTCGTCGAGCGACACACCCGACCTCTCGAAGATTTTCTCGCTCACGAACATGCGGCATGTGGTCGAGAGAGTGTAGCGCATTAGGTGCTCTCTTAGCACGACGGGCTCGCCCGACTGGGAAAACAGTCGGGAGATGAGATTGGCCCTCTCGTCCGCCCGCATGTGCTCGAAAGAGTCGAGGCTCTTGGTGTTGAAAACCTCCGAGAGGTAGATTTTACGGGCCTGTCGCCATTGTGGGCCGTATGGGGCCCACGTCATGTCCGAGTAGTTGTAGGAAACGTATTTTCCGGCGGATAGTGGGGGTCGGGAGGCGAAAACTGCGTCGTGGGTCTTAAGGAACTGTTTGGCCATGTCAGGGGACGAGGCCACGACGACAGGGGATTTTCCGAACTTTAGGAGCATTAGTTCGCCGTATTTTCGGGATAGGGAGTGGAGGGATATGTGTGGGACGGGCCCGATGAGGTGGAGGTTGCCGATAACGGGCCACGGCTTCGGGCCGGGTGGGAGTTTGGGTTTGGGCCTGCGGGTTGTTGAGATGAAGGCTGTTGTGGCAATGCAGAGGAAGGCCAGTAGTGCCCAGAAAGGATCCATTTTTTTTGGCTACTTTAGTTGTGAGAAAATACTGTGGAGCTAAACTGTATTTATAGCTGAACTGCTGAAGTAGCATGGGAAGGGGAAAAGTGAAAATTTTTCATTCTGGTATCTCTGTTTTGATTGGTTTTCAGTTTTGAAATAAGATTTTTTAGTAGAGGTCCATGAAGTGGGAGTCTAGTCATCTTTCTTCTCTTTGGAATTCTTGCAACATCAATTTTGTTGCTTAATGTCTTTTGACAACGATTTAATTACATAGTTAAGGGGTACTTACGGGGATTGCCGGATTGGAGTATATTTTTTGAAGAAAGGATTTAATATAATGAGATTAGTTCTGTTTTTATTATTATTATTATTTAATCAATAAAAAATTTTTAGATTGAATGATATATTTAGAGGATTATATAATTTTTAATACCTCTCTCGTGTATTTAATATATTTCCGACTGTTTAAACAAATATGCAGAGAGTATAAACATAAATGAATATAAACAAAATTCTAGAGACTTATGTCTCCACTTAATCAATAATAGAAAAGATTGAACATTATTATAATATTAAAAGTAAATATATAAGTAAATATCATATTTGTAAATATATTAATTATATGCTTTTACAATACTTAATTAACACAAGAATACAATGCTTTTTAATATATTAATTTATATATATATATATATATATATATATATANAAATTAACTATAGTTAAAAAACAAACCAAATAAAAACTAATTGAATCCATAAACAATCACACCCTTAATATCTTTATAATTTATACCCATCACACCCCACACCTAAAATTTCATATCATGAGGTTTGTATCAGAAGGGAGGTCAATATACCACACTTATACTTTTTTTTTTTTGTACTTAAAACCCAATAACATAACCAAAAGAGGACATTAGTCCGATACATCCGATAGAAAAGAAGAAAACCAAATAGGGAGGGAATCACTCCAAACACACGAGGTATGCGACGAGATCGCCCACCTTGCTACGTTGTGAGCTACTCCATTTTGATCCCTAGCTACATATTCACACCGACCACAATCTAAAAGAGACAAGAGACCTATAATGTCAACAAACACCTCGAACAGAGGGTCACGCTCATGACGGAGGGAGATACCACTGACAACTAACATGGAGTCCGATAAGGCGGATTGGATATTTAAGCCCAAGTCCGTCACAACGCGCAACCCAAACCGAAGGGCTAAAGCTTCCGCTACTAAAGGGGAAAAGGATCCCGACAACCAAGATGAGAAAAAAGCTAGACAAGCCCCTGAGGAATCACGAATCCACCCGCCGAGGCCAATCTCCGAATCACGAACCGCCGCGCCACATAGGAGCGTCAAACCATTGCTACATCTTCCCCGACCCCTCCAGATGGAGATGGAATCGATACTTGGTCGTAGCCCAGTAGCTAACAATCCCAAGCCCGCTAGATCAAATTCCTTCAGCCAAACCGCCCCAAATTTTGGAGTGCAGATACTTAACAGGGATAGAAAAGCTCGTGTGTGGATGGACAGAGCCGGTCCTATATATATTTTGGCCCTGGGCCAAATATGAAAATAATGTCCCAGTTCAATTNACAACGTCTAACAAAACTAAAAAAGTTAATGCCTCTAGTGTTTTTCTTTTCGCCTTCATAATATAAAAAGGGAACAAGTAAATGTAAAGTAATTAAACAACCATCATTATCACAAATTTTGTGCCTTAGATTAAATTAAAAATGATATAACTCAGAGGTAGGTCAGTTCAATATGTCAAAATACAAAATTTACATTTAAACTACAATTGAAAAATAGATTAAATTAAAACTAAAACTCACTTCTACCTTCTTTTATTTCTTAATATTCTTGAAGGTGACCACAAATGTAGGTTATTTAAGTTACTCCCTCCTATTCATAATAAGTGTCGCTTTGAGAAGTTGCACAATAATTAAGAATATTTTTTTTGCCAATAATAACATTCATTAATGAAGATAGAGATGAATGTTTTGATAAAAGATGAAGAGTGAATATGAAAAGACCTAGTGTATTTATTAGTTAAATGAGGATAATAATGAAAAACATGTACAAAAATTCTAAAACGATATTTATTTTGTTAATGGTTGATAAAGTCAAGATAACATTTAAAAATAATAGGAGGTAGTATATAAAAAGAGAGAGAGAATAAGCATAACAAAGATAACAAACCAATTATCATTAGAGATGGTCACGAGACTCACAACACATTCAATAATTTCGAGCCAACTGCACATTCAATGATTTCGGGCCAACAACTTTACATATTCGAGGTTAATTTGTGTGAATTTAATATCATTAGGTGAAAATTTATTTTATTTATAACATAGAGAAAAATAATTCATAGTTTTAAGATTTATATTTTCAATATGAATTTTTTTATTGGATGTAGTTAAAAGAGATATAATTAGGGAGGGGGAGATGCTACTGTCTCGTTACGGAACTATTCCGTTGGGATTTATAACCGTTAGATGTTAGATCAACTATTCCCGACGATTACATGATGATCTAACGTTAATAACAATATTTATCTATGAGGCCTCATGTTGGAAATGGGCCCTGGGCCGTCACCCAGTTGGCCCTGGGCCAGGGTTGGGCTTGTAGATGGATCAATCGGATTAGACCTGACATAATTCTCATACGAGTCCTTGTTTTCTTTAAAAGTTAGGTAGCCCGACGTAATAAAAAACCCGGGCCGAATAAAAAGTTTAATTGATAATGATTAGAACAATACAAAAAACACGAATATTGTATATATATACTGACGTATTAAAATATATGTATGACTTACACTTTGTTTCTTAATATAACTATATATATCGATTTGCACGAGTTATATCTATTGAAATTTTAAAATATATATCACGCCGTAGCCGGCCGGTAAACGGCCCAGAATAGAAATGTCTGCCCAAACTAGCTAGGCTAACTTGCACCCGTCATCTTCCCAATCATTCTCATCATCTA